TAAGGGATTTTCCTCAGACGGTTCTTTCTCAAACGATTCAAAAAACTAGGAGTCCTCGGCAGTAGGCCACTGGCAAGCAACACAAAGAGGCCTAGTACCAACCAGCTATGCACCACAATGGGCGGCATGCAGCTATATGTGGTTGTTAAGATACAACAGCAACACCTCCGAGCTATGATAGACTCAGGAGCAACGGACAACTTTATGACAAAGAAAGTAGCAGACACACATGGTTTCAGGATGCAACTGAAGACCGACCCATACCCATTAATGGTTGTAGATGGAGAGCCCATCTCAACTAACAATGGGATGGTGACCCACGAGACGGTCCCATTAGAAATGGTCATGCTACGCGGACACAAGGAAATAATACAGTTTGATATCATGCACATGGACAATCATGCAGGCATACTTGGTGTACCGTGGCTCAAGAAACACAACCCCAGATCGACTGGCAGAATGAGAAAGTTGTGATGAGCCAGTGCGCGTGTGAACAATGAATGGACGCGACACAGAAGGAGAAAACCTCCAAAGACCGGAAGGAGTTATGTGCGACCACTGAGTCTGATGACCTAGCCCAGGCATTCTCACTGAAGCAAATACCAGTGGAGTATAAGGAATACGAGCAGTTATTCCTGGAAGGCCCTAATGAAGAGGCGCTTCCTAAGCACCAACCATGGGATCATGAGATACCTATCATGGAAGGAAAAAGTCCACTGTTCGGACCAATATATCAGATGTCAGCAGCAGAGCTAGACGTACTGAAGGAATACATTGACGAGAACCTCGTGAAACGGTTCATTCAACCATCGACATCACCAGCAGGAAGTCCAATAATATTTATGCCAAAGAAGGACAAGAAGCTCAGACTCTGCGTGGACTATCGAGGAACGAATAATGTCACTATCAAAGATAGATATGCTTTACCTTTGATAAACGAACTACACGACCGGTTCCAGGGAGCCAAGATATTTACCAAGCTGGACCTCAGAGGCGCCTATAACCTGATTCGAATCAAGAAAGGAGATGAGTGGAAAACAGCATTCCGCACCCGCTATGGCTTGTTCGAATACTTGGTTATGCCCTTTGGTCTAACAAATGCACCAGCATCCATGCAGAGGCTCATGAATGCAGCTCTCCATGAATACTTGGATGTGTTTGTTATCATCTACCTAGACGATATCTTAGTCTACTCAGGAGACCCAACGGAACACATTGGTCATGTTCGGAAGGTATTACAGAAGTTAAAGGAGCATCGGTTACTCCTCAAGCCAGAAAAATGCGAATTCCACAAGAATCAAGTAGAATTCTTAGGCTACATTGTCAGAACGCATGGCATCAAAATGGACCAAGCAAAGGTCACAGCAGTGTTGGAATGGCCAACACCAACCATGGTCAAAGAAGTACAAGCCTTCTTAGGCTTCACCAACTTCTACTGGAGGTTTATTATGGGATATTCCAAGGTAGCTCAACCACTCACAGAGCTTACAAGAAAAGACCTTACATTCGAATGGACAAGCAAGGCAGAGGCTGCTTTTAGAACTTAAGACGAAGTTCACAGAAGCACCTATCCTAGTCACATTCGACCCTGCAAAGAGTATTGTCCTCGAAACGGACTCCTCTGACTTCGTGATTGGAGCCTGTCTAAGTCAGCCAGACAAAGACGAGAAGCTTAAGCCAGTTGCATATTACTCTAGAAAACTGTCAACCGCAGAGCTCAACTACGACATCCTCAACAAGGAGCTGATAGCTATTGTCGTTGCTTTTGAGTAATGGCGAGTATATCTTGAAGAATCGACCTACCCAGTACAGGTATGGACGGATCATAAGAATCTCATATATTTCACCACAACCAAGGTTTTAAACTGCAGACAAGTCCGATGGGCAGAGACACTCGCAGCCTACAACTTCACGATTACATATCGCAAGGTGTAATGGTGTAATGGTGGGTGCACCAGATATGAGAATCTAGCCACCCAAGGAAGGGATGAATTTACTAAGACAACACACTGTCTTAGGAAACAGAGCCAAAGGGTTGTAGCTTAGACTATTCCACAACGCAGCAATCAGGTGTATAATGTGGTGGAGTGGTTTAGACAAGTTGCAACAAATGTTGAGTCTGAGAACTCAGGGGTAAGTCAGAGGTTAGCACCTCACTGACTTTTCAAAAACAGAGAATAACAAGATCAATGCTTGGAAGCTTGGAAAAGACGTAGAAGTATGTGCTAGTCGATTTACTGTATTGTCTGCTTGCCCTTTCTTAAGGAAAGGGCAATCCTATTTATGCCAAAGGAGTGTAGTTCTCTCATTTTCCATGACTTTCCATGACTAACCAGGCTTGGTAAATGTATTAGAAATCAAGTGCGACCCACAACTAGCTTGCTAATCATGTAGTGAACGTAAGAGAATCCCATAGAACCATCTCTTGGGTTCCTAGCCTATAGGAAGTGAAAAGGAGGTCCAAGGTCAGAGTACCTATAGACAAATTATGTCATAACTTAACCAATCTTGTGGGTAACTAAGGAGCGATGACGTGTAATGAATCATAGAGGGTTGTAGAAGCTTCTAGAGCTATCGTTCATGTTCCTAGGCCTCTAGTTGGTAGAGATATGCCATGTGGTAGTATTGACCCACCCCCTTAAGGAGGAGATTTTCTTAATAACTTGTTCAATGAGTGTCCAAATGATATGCCGTGATGTATGTAGCATAAACAGATGTAGTAGAAGAGTTTGCAGCAATCGTTGAGTAGTATTGCTTCTGTTGTTGGTGTGATAAGCCAAGATATGTATGGTGACTTGTAGGTTTGAGGAGATTTCTAAGTTTGCTCTTGAGTTTGATAGCAAACTGAGTGCAACGAATGTCAGTATGACACAAGGGCTCTGAGAACGCAAGAGCCGACGCTCTTAGCAGAAGGTCCAACTACATTGTCATACTGACATTCGTTGCACTCAGTTTGCTATCAAACTCAAGAGCAAACTTAGAAATCTCCTCCTCAAACCTACAAGTCACTATACATATTTTGGCTTGTCACACCAACAACAAAAGCAATACTACTCAACGATTGCTACAACCCTCTATGATTCATTACACATCATTGCTCCTTAGTTACTGGGCCGATATGACCACATAGCATATCTCGATAACCCTCTATGATTCATTACATGGCATCACTCCTTAGTTACTGGGCTAATACTACACATGACATATCTCTATCAACTAGAGGCCTAGGAACATGAACGATAGCTCCAAAAGCTTCTACAACCCTCTTTGATTCATTACACGTCATCGCTCCTTAGTTACCCACAAGATTGGTTAAGTTATGACATAATTTGTCTATAGGGGTACTCTGACCTTGGACCTCCTTTCACTTCCTATAGGCTAGGAACCTAGGAGATGGTTCTATGGGATTCTCTTACATCGACTACAGTTACCAAGCCTGGTTAGTCATCGAAAGTCTTGGAAAATGAGAGAACTACACTCCTTTAGCATAAATAGGATTGCCCTTTCCTTAAGAAAGGGCAAGCAGACAATACAGTAAATCGACTATCACATTCTTCCACGTCTTTTCCAAGCTTCCAAGCATTGATCTTGTTACTCCTTGTTTCTGAAAAGTCAGTGAGGTGCTAACCTCTGACTTATCTTATCCCTGAGTTCTCAGACTCAACATTTGTTACAACTTGTCTAAACCACTACACTACATCATACACCTGATTGCTGCGTTGTGGAATAGTCTAAGCTACGACCCTTTGACTCTTTTTCCTAAGACAGTGTGTTGTCTTAGTAAAATCATCCCTTCCTTGGGTGGCTAGATTCTCACATCTGGTGCACCCACCATTACAGTTAACATCTCTAGGTCTCACACAAGTTCCTGAAGCACAGTGTCTGTTCATGTCTGACACCATAATAGTCTTCTTTTATGTTGACGGCATCTGTATCCTCAGCCACCCAAGACATAAGCATGAAGCAATAGACTTCCATACAAAACTCATAGAGGCATATGAGTTCCGGGAAATAGGGGAACTAAATTGGTTTCTCGGAATTAGAATTGTACGAGACCGCACTTGGCGCAAACTGTGGATGTGTCAAGATTCATATATTGAAAAGATTATTGCATCGTACAAGGTCACGCAAACAAGGATGCCGCGGACACCAATGATTACAGTCGAACTTACCCCGTACAATGGGCAAGCAACAAAACAAGAGATTCATCTCTATTAACGGAAGATTGGATCAGTGAACTATGCCGCAGTCGTGACTAGACCTGACATAGCCCGCACAACACAAAAACTAGCAGAGTTTCTCATCAACCCTGGACCAGACCACCATACTGCAGCCGACCTGCGACACCTTACAAAACCCGACTGGTACACATACAACACAAAAACCCGAGGAACACCAAAGTTCTACCACAACACCGAAAAAGCGACAAAACTTCAATTAACACTCATTCATTTAATTAGTCTTTTCTTTTAAGTTACTATTATTATTATTATTTATATAAACTGTAACACCTGGGGGGGTGTGTTGTAATATACAGGGGCTACAGTAAGCGACCACACGTACGGAGTAGAACCACGAAAAAACTCTGCGCTTACTGTTGGGAATAGAACGTGGGCTATGGGCTACGGTGGCCATTTGGCCCTGGAAATCGGTTTTCCAGCATTCTAACCGCCTGGTTCCCGGATTGGCTCACGGGTTCGGTGGTGGTGCATAACCGTATGCAGCCACCGAATCCTATCACATATTGGGCGCCAACGCCCTTCTTGTTAGGGTCTTGGGCTTGCCCACGAAGCCTACAAATATATACGTAGGCCCATTAGATAGCGTAATTATTCAATTTGATCGATTTACTCTACATACTGCCCTTGATTGTGATACTCGCTGGCGCTGCCCAGAAGTGAGCATTTCGGGTACCAGAGAACCCTTACAATTTGGGTGTGATCCCCGGTCACCGTAATACACTCCAACACTTACGGCTTCAAGCCTCTTAGTTAGCCAGGATTATCAAAAGTCATCGATCTTACTCAACACTAGAACCCTAGAACGAAGAATTAGTACGCAAGTGGCTCTCACGTGTGCCTCTGTAGCCCAAGCCGCCAGGCAGATGGATAAATGCTTGGTTTACCTCGACGAAGCTCACACGAGAGGAACAGACCTCAAGATGCCGGCGACCTATAGAGCGATCGTGACATTAGGCCCCAGCCTCACCAAGGACCGGCTTGTTCAAGGTAGTTCCTAATCGTGAAAGACTTGGATGCTCTGCTGTGATCTCTACACTTGATCTTAAGTTAAAGACACCAACTCCTCCAAGCTCCCGTCCGGGTACTGCTCAACCTTGGGTTTCCCAAACACCAAACAACCCAATTGAAGCCTCATCACAGTCTACCTTCATTAAAAACCGAATTGCGCATCATCAAAATAGCTCTCCAATCTCAATCTATACAGCTGTTGACCAGTTTACAAAGGGTACATCGCAAATAATGCATCAATTAGCATTGTTGAAGGCGGAGAACCAAAACCTGCGACAGGCAAATGAAGTGCTAAGCAAGCGCCGGAGAGCTAAAAAAACACGATTACAGCAAGGAGGATCACTTAGTCAACAAGTAGCACAGGAGCTACAGGATGAGAGGGATGTTGTACAGCAAGTGGAGCAAGAAATAAGGGCGAGTAGTGGTCGGAAGATAAGGGAAGAAACCCGCGCACGTCGCTGTAGCAAGTGTGGTGGGACTGGACATAATGCGCGCACTTGTCAGATTGTAATAGACACATCTGAGGAAGAGGACTCCGAGTAGTTTCAATTGATTTCTAGTGTTGTGGTGGATTTATCGCAATTCCTATGGGGTGGTCGCGATATTTTGGCCGGTTCGCTTGTTTGGCCGCTTCGTTATACATGTACGTTAATGACAAAAAGAAATCTATAGGTAATGATATCCTGGCAAAAAGAAACACTCTCACTTACCCTTGATACCTACCCTCGTCGGCAACCCTGGGCACCATCATGCACACAAAGCTTACCTTTCGCTTACTGGATCGAGCATATCCGATACCCCAACTCCTGACTGCGCTGCTGCGCCCAATTCGCCTGGTCGCCCAACCCAATCCTGCTAAGCAGCTGTGCAATATTCAAGACCACCTTAGGCCTACTCTCCTCCGTCGCAGCAGCGTCGTACAAGAAAGCACTCCACTCCGCCTCACTTCTCTCCGAACAAGCCATAACGATACCCGTGCACACCTCCGCCCACATCTTGACATGCAAGCTATCCGTCGTACTGCAGAACTGCCTGAACTCAATCGTCTTCTTGCCCTCCTCGTGCACGATGTTGACGAAGTTATACGCCATGTTGCGGATGAAGACGTCGTCGCTCTCGAACTTCTCGTCGGGGTCCGTCCAGTGGATCAGGTAGACCAGCCGGCGTGCTGTCTTCGCCGCGTAGATCTCGCGGATGCCCTCGCGCAGGTCCTCTGCATGGTGCGAGATATTGGATCTCTTCCGCATCGATGATGCGTAGCCGATAGTATGGCGATATGGCGGATGCAAGGTGCCGAGCTGGGGCCCAAAGACCCAGAGGAAGGCAGCGATGTTCTTGAGGGCCGGCAGGCTGAAGCCCTCTTTGCCCTTGCCGACGTGGACGTGGTAGCCGCAAGTGTCTGTGATAAGTAAGCGGTGCTTAGATACCAGGGCATCGATGGCTAACCTGACAGCTCGGAAGCCGGCTCTGTCGGCGCTGAGGACGGGAGAGCGAATCTCGAGCGGGACAAAGCAGTTTCCGTATAGATCTGCCATGTCGTCGTCTTCCACGAGCGATTCGTCCCTTACCGGCTCCCACTGGGTTGGGAGGGACCCGATGGGCAACTCGGGCATCACCGCTGCTGGTAGGCCGACATCCCGGAGAGTCCTGCGCACGCGGTCGTAGACGCGATTGTCGATTACGATGCCGGTTGCATCACTGAAGTCGTTGGTGTTTGGGGGCGTTCTATCTATGGTGCGCCTATCCTTTGGCTCGGGATCTATGTCACCGGTGTAGATGAAAGGCACGAGGTACTCCACCTCTATCCCAAATGTAAATGCGGCAGGCATGGTGGGCAAGAAGGTCAACTTGCTTGCTGGAATCTTGTCTGCCGATTTGTTTTTGTGGTGATTTTGGTGATAAGATGAGAGTATTGTGCTGTTGAGATACGCTGGGGAAATGAACTGAAGAGATGATCTGACTGAGCCGTGATCTCGGTCGATGGCGGCATACTTATACCTCGATGGCTATTGTATGCGTCTGTTCTGCATAAAGGGGTTGTTTCAAGGATCTTAAACATTGTTGTCAGAGGTTGAGTCTATGCAATGGAAGTTCATTGTAAGAAGATGTTCATCACTTTGATCAGACAACGGTATTGTCTGAGACTGATCAGTCTGTGGAAGGTTGGGTTTTCAGGCTGGCTTGTTTGTGGCAGACTGGATACTCTGACACCTATGAAGGCAATGGTGTTGCTTTGAAGTGAGCGTGTTTCGAAGTTTCATACTCTCTGCAATGTTTATGAAAGCCTCATAACATCCCATACAGACAAAGGCTCCTTTGTTGTCGTCCCAGGCATACGCTCAGTGCAGCCTTGTTAGGTGGAACCCCCCAAGATGTCATGGTAAACCCAGGCCCGCCTCCTCACCCTTATAACCCAACTTTAGCCATCTTCAAATCAAGCGGCACAGTGGCGCAGTGGGAGTACCACTGTCAGGACAATCTGGCCAGGGTTTGGAATGGATATAGAGGTTACGAATTCGACTCCCAGCAATCAAACGACAAATAAATAATAAACAAATAAATATCCTTATCACAAACATCGAAAGTAAAATCAAGTGATTTTCTCCTTATCAAATCTCATAAACGCCGAGATTTGACAAGTCTTTTGCAGTTTTTCACAAGCGACCCCATTTTTTACAGTATGACGTTTTCTTTGAATATCCAGAGAGACCTTACGTGTATGGCCCTATATGCAATATCTTTAATGAATTAGTTGAGAAAGTCATCTGGGAGGGCATTTGTTTACATTTATTTTGGTATCACATGCGCCGCCCCCCTTTTTTCGTTAAGAGAAGCGAGACGATGCAAACACGATCTACTGCCACAAGTCAATCTCTCACATATAGGACATAAATATATTTTCTTACACTGGAGACACTATCCAAACATCTGCATACCGTCCAGCGGCACAGAGAGCTCCCGCGATGTCCTTCCCACCCCCTCACTGCATCCTCTCCCAGCAATCCGGGCAAAAGTCATTGATCACCTCCTCAGACGAAGTTCGGCGACAATGTTGCGTGCCACGGTACCGACAGTGACGTGATCTGAGGTAGATGATGTGCTGACAGAAGGAGTACCACCGGGAGCGCGTCTCACACATGGTGACGGCTGAGTGGTGTGCGAAGTTCGCCAAGATGTTGCCGCGATGTCGTCGCGTTGTGACGGAGTTGAAAAGGGCTAGAATGCGAGTTCTCGAGTGATCTGGACCAGCAGCTTTGGACATGGCTCAACCCATCTTTTTATATGTGGTCTTTACAGAAGTAGACTGTTCACCAGCGATGCTCGGTGAAGAAATGGGAACTCTCGGTCAGATAACATGTCTGCGCAGTTCCAGCTTCTCTTTATCGCGTGTGAAAGGCAGCAGTGATCTTCCAGCTGATTTAATATCTGCAGAATTTGAGAGCTTCCCCAGCTTTGTTTCTATTCGCCAAATAGAGCTCTAAAGAACATGGATGCTTCTCTGTCTCCCAGGAACAAAGGAGACTGATCGGGCCAATAGATTCCAGATGTCTCTCTATCTGTTTCTAAGACTTGAGTCTTTGTCTAAACGCATGCAGCGTCCAGAAAAGGACCGAGAAATCCTTTAAAGCTTCAAGTGACGGCAGTCTCAGATCTCAGTCCTCGAGTTTTTACAACCATTCTCCGCAGACAATATCCCGAACACCAAATCCATCTTCCCGAATCCCGATCAGCCAACGCACATAATCACAATAACCACCCCTCTACCACAGCCATGGACCTCAGCAAAATCAAGTTCTCCTACCCCACCTGCCACACCTGCTTCTCCCCCTCCTGCAGACATCCCCACCGCATCTTCACGTATGAAGGGTACCTCGGATACCTGAACGAGAGCGTGGAACCTCTAGACCCAGCTCAAGAGGCGGAGATAAAGCTGTCTTTTACTAACGTCGCTAACGCCAAGTTTGGTCCTCCTGGGGATTGCGCCGGGAGATGTACGTGTGCTTCGACGAGGGCTGTATGAGACCGCATCGCAAGTGGACGAGGGAGGGGTATGCGAGGTTTTTGAGGGAGGTGATGAAGGTACAAAGTGATGAGGAGGTGGTGCGTTGGGCGGATCAGGAGTTTGGGGATGGTGCTGGGTTGGGGAGTCTTGATGATATGGAAGCCGCTCTTAGCGGTCGTACCCAGAGCTATGGAGCTGCGTTGGGGAGTCTCGACGATATGCAAGCCGCTTTTGGTAGTCATACTCGGGGCTATAGAGCTATGTTAAGGGATCTCTATGATATGGAAGCCGCTCTCGGCAGCCGTACTCAGGGCTATGGTGCTGGGTTAGGGAGTCTCGATGATATTGAAGCTGCTCTCGGAGGTCGTACTGGCGATGGTGCAGCGTCACGGAGTCTCGATGATATGGAAGCTACTCTCCGGATGCGTGCTCGGGGCGGTAGTGGTGGGTTATATGGCGAGGAAGGATTTACTGGCGAAGGAGCCCAGGGGGGTGAGCACTATACGGAATTTGATGGGCGCCTAGATTGGGATATACGGAATGAGATTATCCACCTCACGAAGAAATAGGAAGAGGGGCTTCCGAGAGTTAGTAATAACCATCGAGACTTCGAGACCTTCAGACAGTACATCAAAGATGAATGGACCCGAAAGGCCGACGGATACCCAGAAACACACCGCACTATGCCTTGGGATAGACCTGGGACCAGCTGCAAGAGCTAGCAATACCACCGAAGCCAAAACCACCACCACCACCACCAACCCCTTGCTTGCGAAGCACCACCCCAACCGGCCTAACCGACGAACAATACGAAAAAGCCCGCCGTGACTACTTCACAAGATGGCAGATAGCCTCCGCCCGAAAATCCCCCGAGCGCAAGAACGAGCTAAGACCACTCATCCAAGCCTCCTGGAAAAGGCGCGTGGGCGTCAGGGGAATGGAGGAGAACATGCCCTGGCACATCGACTTCCGCTCTAAACCCTATCGGCCCCTCGTCTCACCTCCTCGGGACCCCTTGCGTGCACCGCCCGGTGGATGGGTGTCTGAGGACGAAAAACTACCATTTCGGAAGGAGTGGGAGGATATGGCGTTTGGGAAGGATGGGAAGTTGAATAAAGAACCCATGCAGAGATATGCGCTGGCAAGGCTGATACAAGCTGCGTTTGTTACGGTCGTTGGACCCCGCGGTGAGAGGCAGGTTATGCCTTGGACTCCGGATCTGGTACGCCCTGAACCTGCGCCGCGTGAGGTTGCAGAGGCGGATGCGGGGCTGGGACAGGCGAAACCGCTGAATACGGCACTCCCTGACACGAGTCTGGAAACAGACTACAATCTGTTGCGCTCAGAATACGCATTAATCTTTATAAACCGCGTTAAAGGCGAGGATCAGGAGGAGGTAGAGAGGGTAGCGGGTGTGTTCCGCGAGGCGTGGGTGAGGGAGGTGGGGGTCAGGGCGCATGATGTTAGGATGCCTTGGGATGAGGTGTTAGCAAAGAGGGCGGATGGGGAGGTGGAACAGGAGGAGGTGGAACAGGAGGAGGTGGAACAGGAGGAGTTGGGGGATGTGGTGGGTGGGGAGAGGGTGCGGGGTGGTGAGTTGAGGGAGAGGGGGAGGGGGAGGGGGAGGAAGGTGAAGGTTGTGGGGTGGACGAGGAGGAGGGGTGCTGGGGGGTGTGAGTTCCAGTAGCTCTGTGTGTGTTTGTGGTATGGGATATCCGCGCGGTATTTTTGTGTTGGAGTTTGGTTTGTTGGACAATACGTAGTTTGCTTTGGACACGAGGGGTACTGCGTTTGTGTTCTGTTCTTCGGCAGGTTGCAGGGGGACTGATTTATCCGTTTTCGGAGAATTTCTTTCTTTCTTCTGTTTGCGCGACGGATTAATGCATGTTACATCCTACAAAAATACAAAAGAATCTTTAAATAACAACCTCAGGTATTTTTAACAGTGATACAGTACTCCCATGTACTAATCCGTCCGTCTCCCTTTTCTAAGCCAACTATTCTCACATTTCCCCAAACTCCGTCCCTGACCGCAGCCTCGCGTCGTCATCACCACCACCCCCAGCCTCGCGCTAAACCACACCCCTGTCCATCGAAATTCCCCGAGTCCGAGCTATCTCAACCTCACCTCACTTCACTCATCAGCTCCTAGAAAGTCCCACGGGGCACCTCACCTCTCCCTCCCATCCGAACTTTCCATCCTGGCCATTCAGAATGAAAGCCCCCACCGTGCCCCTCCTCCGGTTTCTTGCCGGGACAACACCATCAACTTGCCGCCAATGCGCCCCGAAAACATATATAAAGCGTCTGAGTACCAGCGCGCCGCTGCGCGCAAAGTGGACAAAACCGAATGTTTCGAAGAAGGTGAAGCCTTTGCCTTATAGGTGCGTTTCCCTTTCCGCCTCTAGCTCCCCCCCCCCCCCCGGGCATCACAACCCCAAGTAAGAAACAACACAACTAACCACCCCCCAGTCCCCCTCGAAAACCACCACCAAAACAAAGCAACCCCACAGCAGCCAACTCCCCCCCCGCACCACCTAACCCCATGCGCCACCGCACCCTCCCGCTCCTCCTCGGCTCCCTCACCGCTTTCACTTTAGCTGGGTACAGCAGTTACATCTACGTCACCTACCGGCGCGCCACCTCCTCCCCTTCTTCCTCCTCCCACAGCGTCCCCCTCGATGTCTCAGAGCGGTACAACGATATCGCCACCGAATTCGACGGGGACGTGGAGTGGATGGAGTGGTCGATGGGGTTGTTGAAATTAAGGAAAGAAATGGCGTCCAAGGCGAGGGGGGCGGTTTGTGAGGTTTCTGTTGGGACGGGGAGGAATATGGGGTTTTATGAGTTTGGACCTTTGATGACCGGGGTGGAAATGGGGAAGGGGGGGAAGAAGGATGGGGAGGAGGAGGAGGGAACGGTGACGAGTTTCACAGCGGTGGATAAATCGCCCCAGATGATTGCTGTGGCGAGGGAGAAGTTCTCTAGAGAGCATCCTGGGGTTAGGGGGGTGCAGTGGGTTGTGCAGGATGCTTCTTTGCCTCTTCCTCCGCCGCCTTCCTCCTCCTCACCCACCTCATCCGCGCCCGAGAAATACGACACAATCCTCCAAACCATGGGTCTCTGTTCGACCCCCCACCCCGCCGCCCTGCTCCTCAACCTCTCTAACCACCTCGCCCCCGGCGGACGTATTTTATTGTTAGAGCATGGGCGGGGGTATTGGGGGTGGCTGAATAATATACTCGATGCCCTGGCGCCGGGACATGCGGAGAGGTTTGGATGTTGGTGGAATAGGGAGGTGGGGGGGATTTTGGAGGAGGTTGAGAAGGGGGGGTTGAGGGTGGTGGAGGTTAGGAGGAGGAATTGGGGGACTACTTGGTGGCTTGAGTTGAGGAGGGCTGAGGATGAGGAGAAGGAGTAGAAGGAGGAGGAGGAGGGGGGGGGAAGGGTGGGAAGAAGTGGGAAGAAGTCGGGGTTGGTATGAGGCCTCCCAGAAGTTGGCGTCCAGGAGTTGGCGTCCAGGAGTTGGCGTCCAGGAGTTGGCGTCCAGGAGTTGGCGTCCAGAAGTTGGCGTCCAGAAGGTGGCGTCTGGATGCAATGTCGGAAGTGTACAGTATCCCCTGATCTACCTCGCCTAGACTGTTTAACAAATGTATAAACAATAATAATGCACTGAATCAGGGGAAACATTCCAACCCGTGACCCCAAACCCAAAACGCCCAAGCTAGCCGTTACATGTACCGAGGTACCCTGCCTTATCCCCAAAGTAGCTAGCTCAACAGCACCCCGGCTTCCAAATCCCGAACCCACCGCTTACCTCCCAGATCTCGCCTAGTCACTTTTTTCAACCTTGGGCGAGTTTTTTTCTCCTCGCTCTCACTCTCACTCTCACTTACTCTCGTGTCGTACCCTTTTTGTCTTTTTGTCTCAATTCCCGATTTGCCCATTGGCTGATGAGATGATGAGATGATGAGATGATGAGATTAATAAGATCTGGGGCGCCGAGGTAAGGCGTAGAGTACGCACATAATCCTTATCCGTACAGTACCATGTGTGGGTTTTATACAGTACCGTATGAACGGGATGAACGAGATGAGAGACGCCACATCCCTAAATTCATTCGATGACGGAGCCTCTCTCGGCCGCCGAAGATGGGAGAGATGGGATATCGCCCAGACATGCAACGAGGTGATTGGATTGGGCTCACGGTCGTGCCTTGGGGTGTTTCTGTGGTGTGCATATGTATGTATGTACGCACTCACCGACATCAGACAAGACATAAGTTACATGCAGCAGCGGCGCGCATTCAACACCGCAGCTCCGTTCAACACCGCAGCTCCGTTCGTTGAAGTGGTAATCAGACAGACCATCATCCACTTTCGTCACTCGTGGCGTGGGGCGACGACCGAGATGAGGGCAGTCTGGCCTCATCTCGTGGGTAGAGGCACTTTCTCCGTGCTCCGTCGGTCCTGGTGAGCTCAAGACTTTTTAAATGTGGGAATGGGTGGGGATGGGCATAAAGTGGACAAAAAAATCCTTGCCGACTTAGCATTGGGAAAGAAAGACGTTCGTCATCTCATGCTCGCTTTGCTCATTGTCGCCCGAGTCGTGGGCAGATGGGGAAAAACAACAGGGCACAGTGGAAACCCATCTCGCTTACCAGCCCAAGTACAGTCACTAACAGGCACTAACAGACCACTAACAGACCACTAACATCACTAACAGACCACTAAACTGTCCACTAAACCGTCCATCCGCCATCACATCCCCCACGTCAAAAACACCCAAAACCCAGCCACACGACATTGCAAACATTCACATCTTTGCCACAACAACCACTACCAAACCCACCAAACAACAAACTCGTCGACGACAACTCCCTCCTATACAACACCAAACAATCCTGTCGACCTTTCTCTCGTCGTCCCACCCGGAGATCACACCAGAAGGAAGGAAGTCCATCATCATCACCATCATCACCATCATCACCATCATCACCATCATCACCATCATCACCATCATCACCATCATCATCAACCGACCACAACAACAGCAACACAACACCCATCCATTGCGCCAGCCAAGAATTGAGAAAAGACGACAAAACACCCACTCTGTTCACTTATCAACAAGTAACGGAGAATACATTTACTGTACACCATAAGTACGCCCATCTGTACCTCCTTACCGCTCGACAATCTCACGCCGTTTCCAACGCGCGCAGAACCCCAAAACTCGCGCGCCTTGCTGCATTTCCGAGGCGGCCACTCGCATCCCAACCACCACCATCGAACAAACCAACCCTGTCAAACCAACCCCGTCAAACCAACCCCGTCAACCCCACGCAACAAACCCCCCTGTTGCATCCAATAACATCCCCGACATCTTCACACCAAACTACTGAAAAAGCCACTACAAGCCGTACTATACCTGTACAGCACTTTCCTGAAAAGGGATAATACGTCAACTAGGGAAAATCCGAGCGTGCAACGTGCAGCCACCCCAAACAGAGCGCATCCCTCCCCTTCGCCTGCAATTGTCGCAAACAAAACTTTCCAACTCCTCTCTCCTCTCCCTCCGCCACCAACCCCTCTCACGACCCTCTCTCACCCGACCCTTCCAAAAAAGACACTCACAAAACGACTCTTCCCATGCGCTCCGCAGCACCCAAGAAAGCCGTCAAGATGCCCTATAACACCCGTCGGAAATCGCTGTCGCTGCCGTCGCTAGGCATCCACCTCCCCGTCACACACGCCTCGAGAGCTGCTACGGCCGCCGCGGCAGCAAACCGCTCATCGCCTACGTCGACAGCGCCGTCCGACCAGCAGCCGCCGCTCAAAAAAATAAAACAGTCGCACGCATCATCATCATCGCCATCATCCTCATCAAAACCGCTGTCGCATATGTCGCCACCATCGAAACCGGAACCAGCGGCGAAGAGCATACTGAAATACGAGCATACGCCGCCGCCGTCACCGGAGGCGGATGCCGTGGAGGATGAGGGCGCGCCAAGACGGGAGATCGATTTGGAGGGCATCAATGATGATATCGTCGAGGCGGTTATTGTACAATTACAACGGACAGCGAACAGGCCGCACCTGGTCAAGGAGCTGGCCGCCATCCTGTCGACCTCGGTAAAGATAGTCGAGACGTGAGTATTTCCCCTGCGACCAGAAATGCGACCCTAGCCTCGACCTTTGCTAACCTCCTCTCTCTAGATCCGCGAACCCGTCAGCAATCATATCCTCCCGCCTCTCCACATACCTCAAGCGATCCTGCTGGTCGGCACTCGCGCCCTGCCCCCTCGCAAAGGAACTCGAGACCGTCCACCCGCGCCGCACCTACTTCTACCTCACCACCTACCGCCACCAACCCATCCCCTCCCCCTCCACCGCCGCCTCCTCCTCCACCGCCTTCCCGCAACGCTCCATCATCTCCCCCTCCCTCTCCTCCACCGAATCCCGCTCCGAAGACGACGTCGACGCCGAGCGCCGCCGCCAGCTCTCCCCCTCTCCCGAAGTCGACCTCTCGTCTCCTGAACTCGACGATGCCGGGTGCTCCGACTCCAACGGCTCCGTCGCGCCGCCTACGCCTAGCGGGTCCTTCTCGGGACGTTTGACGAGCGATGCGCGGGCCGGGTTGGTGAGGAATCATCGCGCGGCGTCGCCGCCGTTGGAGAAAGATGAGAAGGAGTTTACGCAGACGGCGAGGGGGATGCAGAGGAGACAGCTTCTGAGTGAGAAGCTGAGGGAGGGCGCTGCTGCGGCGTCGCATATTCCGTCTTTCTCGTTCTCGGGGGAGGCGGAGGTGAAGATTATGGATCTGGATGGGGACGGGGATTTGTTCGGGGAGCATGATCATCATGGAAAAGGCGACAATGGAGGGTTGCACGGCTTTGTGAGTAGCCCGGCGATGAAACCGGTGGGCGGTTTGATGGCTGGGATGATGCCATTGCTGTCGTCCCCGGCGTCGATATCGGTGTTGAAGAGGCCGTTTGAGGATATGGACGAGGTATGGACGAAGGATGAGATGGAGTGGGATTCGAGGAGTCCAGAGAATATCGATTTGGAGGAGTTGGATGGGATGTTTGATTGCTTTGAGTAAAGTGGGTGTGGTTCTGTGTGGGGTTTTTCGCTTCTTGGAGGGAGTGCCCGACCGTCTAACGACGACGGATCGGGCCAGACGACGACGAGCGCCCGTTATTTTTTGGGCTTTGCTGGCTGGCTTTGCTTGCGGCAACGTCGATTTTACATTTTTTGGTGGAGAGAAGGGAGAGATCCTTTGTGCTTTTCACGGCGTTTTACGGCTTTTTTTACGGACGGACCCGATGTTGGCGATTACTAGTGCTTCACTTTGTTTGCTTTAGAACGAAACAAAAACGGCAGGAACGATACGGAACTCAAAAAAGTTTATGGGCGGGAAGACACGATTTGTTTACAAAGAAAAGAAAGATGGGAAAGAGCGATGGGGGTGGTCGCGGTTGCTGTTTCTGTTTTTCACTACTACTACTCTCCTCCAACTCTGGCGCAAATATATGGGTGGATGGATGTTCTGCCGTCTTTTGGGGTCGCTACTCTCTACACACAACGCCTCCTCCCCTTTTTTACTCGTCACTACTCTGTTTTGGTTTGCTTTTTTTGCTTTTTGCTAGCGAGTTTTGCTGTTTTTGTTGCTGTTTTGTCTTGCTGGAGACTGCAGATTCATTCCAAGAGATGGAGATGAGGGAGCTCACTGCTCGAAAGATTTTGAAAGAGGAATTGTGTATATATATGTAATCTTGAGAGTTGGGTGGTGCTTTTTTCCTGCAGGTGGTAGAGTGGATGGGAGATGGAATAGGGGAAGAGATGAGAGAGCGGAGTGAGGGGGAGAAGGGATGAGGGGGATGGGAGGGAGAAGGGGGATGAGACAATGTAGATGTGGATGTGGATGTGGATGTGGATGTGGATATGGATGTGGATGTGGATGTGGACATAGATAGATGTCGATAACGAAGAAAGAAATGAAAGAATAAATCTCCACCTTATGATTGGATTTTAAAAGCTCGTGTGATGTGAGAGACACCGGCACGTGGTTACATCCATCTTCTCAGATTTTCTCGGCCGCAACCGGCGCCGTTTAGAGTTAGAGGTGAGACTCGGACCTGGGTGTGTCTGGTGCATTTCGACACCGCCAAAAACAAAGTCCAGGATGCAATATCGTGTGTACTATAGATCGTCTGAGAAAACAAATAACAGAAAACCTCAATTACCATACAATCCCGCCCTGTCAATCCCCTACAATAACCTGCAACGGCAGAAGGGGACTGGGGGACTGGGGGACTGAAGAACACTGGATATAACGCTTTGAATCGGCGCGGCGCTTATTGGCCACACGGCACGTATCGGGCTCGCCCTGCCCCACCACGGTAGAAACGCATTTACCAGCACCCGCAACAGCTCTTGCAAGGCCGATTGGAGCTCGGCCCACGACACCGAGCGCCGAGAGGAGTGCGAGGTGAAAAGCCAGCTGGTGCTCGTCATCCATACTCACTCACTTACTTGCGCACTTTCACTTTCACTTCCCTTTTCTACAATTGCAAGTGGTTACACGGATATACGGAAAGGAAGAGAAAGAAGAGAAAGATATAAAGGAACTGGGGACATTGCAATTGTATGGGTAACTAGGGCGCGAAAAGAGCTTGATTCCCATTGCGATTTTGTGTGACTCGATACCAAGATGAAGACAGCAACTTCCATGCGCCCCCTCCTCGCCGCCGCGCGCAGCGGCAGCGCCCCGAGGAGCGTACGCGCAGCATCTACCATCGCTGGTGCGAGGAGGGGAATCACAGCTACGGCAGGTGCGAGGAGGACGGCTGTTGCGCCGCTGAGGGCGGCGGTTGGAGGTCCGCAGACCAGGGCTTTCTCGGCGGGCCAGAGGAGGCAGGAGGAGGCGTTTGATCCGACGATGGTGGAGAGGGAGAGTGATGAGGTGGATGTTTGTATTGTTGGTGGTGGTATGTGATTCTCCGGCTGTCCCTCCTGTAGCTGTCAACCTGCCCTCGCACACAGCAACAGCGCGGGGCCAGCGACAACCTTACAATAAACCCAAATGAACCGAGGGATGAAAGCTGACAGAAACTCTCAACAGGCCCAGCAGGACTCGCCTCCGCCATCCGCCTCAAACAACTCGCGACCGCAGCAGGCAACGACGACTTCCGCGTCGTCGTCCTCGAAAAAGCCAGCGAGATCGGCGCCCACATCCTCTCCGGCGCCGTGCTGGAACCGCGCGCAATCGAAGAACTCATCCCAAACTGGCTGGACGAGGCGAACCCAGATCGTTTCGACGGCATCACGCCCGCCGCCGGCGATATAATGCGGTTCTTGACGAAAAAGATGGCCCTCCCGATCCCGGCGCCGCCGCAGATGCATAATAAGGGCAATTATATCGTTTCCCTGAACCAGTTTACGAAGTGGTTGGGGGAGAGGGCTGAGGAGGCGGGGGTGGAGGTTTATCCGGGGTTTGCGGGCGCGGAGGTGCTGTATCGCCCCGATGGATCAGTAAAGGGTGTTGCGACGGGGGACCAGGGGATTGCGAGGGATGGGAGTAGGAAGGGTGGGTTTGAGAGGGGCATGGAGTTCCATGCTCGCGCGACGCTTTTCGCTGAGGGATGCCATGGTAGCTTGACGAAGGGAGTTATCAAGAAGTTCGATCTCCGCCGCGAGAGCGAGGCGCAGACGTACGGGCTGGGTATCAAAGAGGTCTGGGAGATCGCGCCGGAGAAGTTCAACAAGGGAAGTATTACGCATTCCCTCGGGTATCCGTTACCGGCGGATACGTATGGAGGGGGGTGGATGTACCATTTCGGTGACAACCTCGTCAGCATCGGACTCGTCGTCGGCCTCGACTACCCGAATCCCTGGCTCTCACCCTACCAGGAGTTCCAGAAGATGAAAGATCACCTGCTCTACCGCTCCGTGCTCGAGGGGGGGAAATGCATATCCTACGGCGCCCGCGCCCTCGTCGAGGGAGGCTTCCAATCCATCCCCAAGGTCGCATTCCCCGGCGGCGCATTGGTGGGAGATACTGCGGGATTCATGAACGTCCCCAAGATCAAGGGCACGCATACAGCCATGAAGAGCGGCATGCTCGCCGCCGAAGCCGCGTACGAAGCGCTCACCGCTACGCAGGAGGGGACCGTCTTCCTCTACGACTATGAGGAGAAACTGCGCCAGTCGTGGGTATGGAGCGAGTTGAAATCCGTGCGTAACATGCGCCCGTCCTTCCACGGGCCGCTGAAATTATACGGCGGCATCGCATACTCCGGCCTCGAAGCCTTCGTCCTCAAGGGCCGTGTTCCCTGGACCCTGTCCCACGGCAGCAAGACGGATGCGCAGGCGACAAAGGGGGCGGATCAGTGCGAGAAGATCGTGTATGAGAAGCCGGATGGGGAGGTGACGTTTGATATTCTGACGAGTGTGGCGAGGACGGGGACGGATCATGAGGAGGATCAGCCGGTGCATTTGCAGGTGAAGGACTGGAAGAAGCATACTAGGAGTATGTGGCCGAGGTTTAAGGGGGTGGAGAATAGGTTTTGTCCGGCGGGGGTGTATGAGTATATTGAGGATGGGGGGGAGGAGGAGGGGGTGAGGTTTCAGATTAATGCGCAGAAGTGAGTGTTTCCTCTTTTTCTACCCCTGTTTCTGTTCTGAGGGGATTCTTGCAGGGAGAGAGGCTAATGGATTACAGCTGCATTCACTGCAAGACTTGCGATATTAAGGTCCCGGATCAGGATATCAACTGGACGGTGCCAGAGGGCGGTGGAGGACCAAAGTATTACATGACCTAGATTAGTTGTGAGGGTGGTGTGGAAATATTGGGGGGTATAGCATGGTTCGAATTCACACATAGGCGGGGCGGAACAAGCAGTATAGAATTTGTAAAAATGATAAAAGCGTACATATATATTAACCCCTACAACCAACCCCCTATGATCATCACGCACCCAGTATCCTCATGGAGAAGGGGTAATAAACCACCATGATCTCAAAAATCCTCTGGATAATAGTTAAATCGGTGCCATCCGGCCTAGTGGGTAGGCCTCGCCGCCCTTACCCTTATTCTGTGATCGCGACCATCGCTACCACCTTAAAGTAGGTACAACGTGTTGCACGGTGAGCTAGATCGGTGAAAAAGGCGAGTACAGCTGAACTAAGAAAATGGTATGAAGGGACAGCTACCCCCTCTCATATTCCACAGCCTCTGTCTGCAATATCATATATTTTCTCTCAAAGTATCTATCACAAAATGAAGGGTAATGTTGTACTTTATAATTGAAGTTGCACTTCAGAGTGTACGAACATTAGCATTACACCTGGCACTGCGCAAGGTCGGCCGCAGTCCTCGCACAAAGCTCCCGCTGCTCCATCAGCGACTTCTCCGAGTCCTCCGGGTCCACACTAAGACACGAGGCCGTCACCTTTGTGTAAAGCCCACCGCATCTATCTAGCAGCGCCTGCTGCGCTATGCGTATCAGCTTGCGCCGTGTATCGAAAGGGTCGTTTGGGCCAAGCATATCCTCAGCATAGAGTGATTCGACCGGCGTCCACAGGCCGATCTCGAGCAGGGCGATGCCGAGCGAGTAGACGTCGAAGGCGTGACAGTAGCGTCGGTCTGGGTACGCGCGCTTGAAAGGGTGGTGCTTCATGTCGAAGTTGGCGCGGTGTGCCTCTTGGCTCTTGAGATCGCTGTCTTCTCCAGCAAACCTAACCCTAACATGCCTCCCCTCAGTTTGTAGCTCTGGCGCCTTGTAGGGATTTGCTCTATCCTGCGAGGCGTTCTCAAAGCTAGCTTGGCCCTCCTGGGATCGGATGGGCATAGGCACCTCAGATACTAATGGCGGTGATCTACTTAGCAGTGGTGTAAACTATTTGCTGGTTAGGCTGATTGATACTGCTGCTGATCTCGCACACCGTCCGGCCTCGAATACCGATAACCCAGGAGGAACGGATTCTCAAAATCCATACTCTCCCAGTCCCGCGACAGCGCGGCCCGGACTTGGGGAATATATAGAGCTCATCAGTCCTGATGTTCCTGTGCAGCCACCCGCTGGCATGCAGGAACGAAACACTCTGCACCAACTTCCGCGCCAAGTTGAACCGCAGCCCAAGTGCCGGGACCGGGTCGTGCTCCCACTGAAATATCGTGGCCCGCGGCTTACGGATAATCATGTCTTCGATGGGGAAGCCCTTTTTGTCTTGCCCTATTGAGTCGGGGAGCCTGTAGACGAAGCCAACTTCCTTTTGTTTTGGGAACTTGACGAGGCCGAGCAGCTCGAGAGTATGAAGGCGTTTAGCGCAGACGGGCAGCTTAGTAGACGACCTAGCTTTAGAATATTGGTGCAGATCCGTTGACTTAGTGTAATGATGTACGGTTACGCTCGCGCTACATCCCACTGAGCCAAAAAGACTACAGTATTCCGGCTCGCCCGGAATACGCGTAACACGCTTTATATACCACATGTACTGTAACGGCGGCACCCGTTACAATTACCCTCTTTCTCTAAACTTAGTTGTTCCTCCTTGCTGCAACTGGCCGCTTCTATTAGCGAGGTCGGCTTCATTCATGAGCCTCTGCATGGACGCCGGTGCAATCATTAGTCCAAAGGGCATAACTTAATACTCGAATAAACCATAGCGGGTGCGGAATGCTGTTTTCCGCTCGTTTCCCTTCTTTATTCGGATTAAGTTATAGGCGCCTTTTAGGTCTAGTTTTGTGAATATCTTAGCTCCTTGAAACCAGTCATAAGTCGTTTATCAAGGGTAAGGCATATCTGTCCTTAATAGTGACGTTGTTTGTGCCCTAATAATTAACATAGAGTTGTAGCTTTTTGTCCTTCTTTAGCACAAATAGTATTAGACTACCTGTTAGTGATGTTGATGGTCTAATGAAACTTTTAGTAAGGTTCTTGTCAATGTATTCTTTTAGTATGTCTAGCTCTGCTGCTGACATCTAATATATTAGTCTGAACGGTAGACTCTTTCCTTCTATAATAGGTATCGCATGATCCTATAGTTAGTGCTTAGGAAGTGCCTCTTTCTTAGGGACTTCCTAGAATAACTACTTGTATTCCTTATACTCCACTAGTATTTGCTTTAGTGAGGATGCCTAGGCTAGGTCATTAGACTTAGCAGTTGCACATAACTCCTTCTAGTCTTAGGAGGATCCCTCCCCTTATGTCATGTCTGTTTGTTGTTCACATGTACACTAGCTCATTACAACTTTCTCATTCTGCTAGTTGATCTAGGGGTTGTGTTTCTTAAGCCACAGCACACTAAGGATGTATGCATGATTGTCCATGTATACGATATCAAACTGAAACATAGCATGTCCATTTCTAATAGGACTGTCTTGTAGGTTACCATTCTGTTGTTAGTTAAGATAGGCTCTCTATCTACAACCATTAATAGGTATAGGTCGGTCTTTAGTTGCATCCTAAAACTGTATGTGTCTGCTACTTTCTTTGTCATAAAGTTGCCTGTTACTCCTAAGTCTATCATAGCTCGGAGGTGTTGCTGTTGTATCTTAGCAACCACATATAGCTACATGCTGCTTGTTGTGGTGTATAGCTAGTTCGTACTAGGTGTTACGACGGAACAAGAAGGCTGGCCAACTACAGGACAGGAAGGAGGGAGGTCGCATGAGACCGGCCCTGGTACCTGGAGGGGCAGCGGGGAATAGTAGTTCCGAAAGTATCACGTGACGGACTCGCAGGATGATGAGAAGAGTCCTAAGAGTCCAGGACTCCGAGGACTCGAGTGAGTTCCCAGGAGTCCACTAGGCACGTGATGGACTCGCAGGATGATGAGAAGAGTCCTAAGAGTCCAGGACTCCGAGGACTCGAGTGAGTTCCCAAGAGTCCACTAGGCACGATGCCACTATATAAGTAGATAGTATTTCCTTAGATAGGAGCTTCGTGCTCAACTCAATACAGTATTTGTTATATACTAGTAACGTGTTACTTGAAGCCTTTGTGTCTGATCCCCTGCCTCCTCTGATAAGTAAACCTTTACGCAAGAGAACCTCTGTGTCTTCTATCGTTTAGAAGTCAGCGTTACACTTTGAGCACCACTTCTACGAGGTACCGGCTTACACACAAAGCAACATGTCTGTCGTCAGTTCGAAGGGGAAAACCCCCACCACGCCAACTTCGTCTCAGAGGTCTAAGCCTGAGAATGAAGAGATGCCCGATGCACCCACCGTCAACGAACTCAAGGAAACTCTACGCGTCAAGTTGCCCGACACTTACTCCGGCAACCGAAAGGAACTTGAGGTGTTTTTGCTACAGGTCGAACTGTACCAGCACTTCAATGATGAGAAGTTCCCCACCCAGGAGAGCTATGCCCTGTGGACTGCGTCCTACCTTAGGGGGGAAGCCCTGCGATGGATTGAACCATTCCTCAAGGACTATTTCAAATATGAAAGTACCAATGGAAGCATGACAACTACGCAGACTATGTTTGGCAGCTGGAATGGATTCTGTAAGGAAATCCGACGCATGTTCGGAGACATCGATGAGATTAAGACCGCAGAAGACCATCTGTTTGCACTTAAGCAGACTGGCAGCGCCCTCACATACTCCACAGAATTCCAGAGATACGGCAATCAGACAGGATGGGACGCCAGCGCACTCATCAGCCACTACCGACGTGGGCTGAAGAGCCATATACGTATGGAACTTGCCCGTTTGGAACAACAACCAACGGACATGGTAGCGCTAATCGAACATACGGTCCGAATCGACAATCGACTATACGAATTCCAGAAGGAACGTCGGACCTATGACAAGCCCAAGAAAAGTTACCCCTACCGGGGAAACGAGGGCAGACGACGGGATCAACACCCGCGAGACAACCGCTGGTCGGACCCAATGGAACTCGATGCCACGTTCAAACCTGGACGACCCCGTGACCCTAAGAAAGACAGACAATTCAAGGAACGACTCTGTTTTAACTGCGACAAGCCAGGCCACATGGCCCGAGACTGCAGACAGCCAAAGAAAGGGAACGGCGGACGCAAAGTCGGCAAACAACTCAATGCCACCTGGACAGGACAGTTGAACGCAACGTTTGTGAGCAAACAGGACTGGGGAATAAACAGCGAAAGCACCCCAGAAGACGAGAGCTCAGATGAAGGGTCGGAGGCGGAATCGTTCACCGTCTCGGAACAGGAGACCTTCGATGAACTCGCACCTACGGAACCAATGAGTCCACGGTGCAAGAACGTAGTAAGATGCATGGCAAAACACGCCCACGCGAAGATTAGGGCCGAACGAGACAAGCCCAATGGCCAGAGGAAAATCCCCATGCTTAAAGACCTCTACGGGAACCTGTTACAGGAACTTCCGTTAAAATGCAAGGTGGACGACTGCAAGGATGACCTCTGGAGATACTACGACCAACTAACGAATACCCGCAGGCTGCTTGGCACGTCCCAAGACGTAGCTAAGTTGGAAGCCCAAGAAGCGGAAGAACTGGAGAAGGATGTCGAGCATATGGCTAAACTGAAGTATATGAAAAGCGTCGAACTTTACTACCAGGACCGCAGGAGAGCCCTGAAGAAGTACGACGAGAAAGCCAGAGATATGCTCCGACGGGAAAATGCGAGACCTACTCCACGCATCGAAAGGAGAGCCATGGAGCAACTAGACACGTTCTCCACGCCTCCGAGGGAAGATAGTGCATGGGTGAGAGGACAGCGGGAACTATCAACGACAGACGCAACAGAGACTGATCATCCCTGGCACGCGTATGTCTACTGGGAGTATTGCAGCGAAGATGATTGCAAGCTCCACTGGAAAAAGAAACACCAGAATCAGTTGTTTCCCCGATCCTCGCCCAGGATACACTTCAGAGACGCAGAGCAAGTTCACGCCCTCAGGCGAAGCCAGTCTGAAGGGGACTTGCCTATCAAAAGCGAACAGGTATACGAGAAATACCCACATCTGCTAGACGAAGCAGAAGAGCGAGGGAAACGATCTCCCCAAGGACCACCATTGGAAGCGGATGAATACTATCCTTCCTCGGACGAGTCAAAAAACTAGGAGTCCTCGACGGTAGGCCACCGGCGAGCGACACGAAGAGGCCTAGTACAGACCAGCTATGCGCCACGACGGGCAGCATGCAACTATATGTGGTCGCTAAGATACAACAGCGACACCTCCGAGCAATGATTGACTCAGGAGCGACGGGCAACTTTATGACAAAGAAAGTAGCAGACACGCAAGGTTTCAAGACGCAATTGAAAACCGAACCATACCCGTTAATGGTCGTAGATGGAGAGCCCATCTCGACTAATGAAGGAATGGTGACCCACGAAACGGTCCCATTGGAAATGGTCATGCTACACCGGCACAAGGAAACGATTCAGTTTGACATCGTGCACATGGACAACCATGCGTGCATCCTTGGTATGCCATGGCTCAAGAAACACAACCCCCAGATCGACTGGTGGAACGAGAAAGTTGTGATGAGCCAGTGCGCGTGTGAACAACGGACGGACACGCGACAACGGGAGAAACCCTCCCAGGGCCGGAAGGAGTTATGTGCAACCTCCGAGCTCGATGACCTAGCCCAGGCATCCTCACCGACGAGTATACCGGTGGAGTACAAGGAATACGAGCAATTATTCCAGGAAGGCCCTAAGAACGAGGCGCTTCCTAAGCACCAACCATGGGATCACGAGATACCTTTGGAGAAAGACAAGAGTCCACCGTTCGGACCAATATATCAGCTATCGGAAAAGGAGCTGAAGGTACTTAAGGAGTACATCGATGATAACCTAGCGAAAGGATTCATCAGACCATCCACATCACCAGCAGGAAGTCCGGTGCTTTTCGTACCAAAGAAAGACGGCTCCCTACGGTTATGTGTGGACTATCGAGCGTTGAACAACATCACAATCAAGGACAGGTATGCCCTGCCGTTAATCAACGAACTACACGATAGATTTCAAGGAGCAAAGATCTTCAGTAAGCTAGATCTGCGAGGAGCATACAACCTGATCCGAATCAAGGCTGGGGAAGAGTGGAAAACAGCATTCCGCACCCGCTATGGCCTATTCGAGTATCAAGTCATGCCCTTTGGGCTAACAAATGCACCCGCATCCATGCAACGACTGATGAATGATGCTTTGCATGAATACTTAGACATCTTTACCATCGTCTACCTAGACGACGTCCTGGTGTATTCAGCAACCAAGGAGGAGCATGTCAAGCATGTCAAACTCGTCCTGAAGAAACTAAAGGAGTACAGCTTACTCCTCAAACCAGAGAAGTGCGAGTTCCATAAAAACCAAGTCGAATTCTTGGGTTACATTATTGGAACGCACGGCATCAAGATGGACCAAGCAAAAGTAACGGCAGTGTTGGAATGGCCAACACCGACCACGGTCAAGGAAGTGCAAGCCTTCCTAGGCT